TGTGATTCCGTTTTTATATTTGGCATGCCTTAGAAGTTTGGGCACTAGCAAAGTAAAAGAAACCAAAATAAATATCTTGGTTAAAGTATTTGAAATTTTCTTCATGAAGCAAAATGAACATATTGTTGATATGATTACTTGTTTCATTGATATTGTTAATGGTCTCATAAGCTTTAATCGAAAATTTGTTAACTTTGAACTTGTAAGTAAAATGCTTAGCTCTCTTTGGAGGATTGTAGCTCCCTAAGGATGTTGATAGAAAATATCAAAGATGTCAACACTTATTCATTAGAAGAGCTATATGGAACTTTAATGATTTATGACCTCAACAATGTTGAGACAAAGGAGAAAACGAGGAAAACCAAAGAAGAGAAAAAAAAAAGTCAAATTGCTTTAAAGTCGGTAATTGATGAATGCACTACAAACGAAATATATGAATGATGAAGAATTTGATGACCCAATTCTTCTTGTAAACAATTGGTGGCATGTTTGCAAAAATTGACGATGTCAAAAGAAATAAGAATATGGTGAAGAGAAGTGTAACAAGATTGTTTGCTATGATTGAAACAAATCCAACCACGAGAGAACCAAATGTTCAAATAAAAAGAGATTTCTAAAAAATAAAACACTTTAATCAACATGTGTTGAGTGATGATGATGACCATGAAAAATATGAAATTCAAGAAAAAATTGACAACATGTGTTTCATGACTATTGAAAATAAGGTAAATTCAAATGAATATTGTTTATATGATGAATTATTTACCTCTGACGACGAAATTCTTGAAAAAATTGAGAAACTTGCTCTAAATCATTCTGCTCTCAAAAATAAAAATTATTTATTAAAAAATGAGGTAAAGAAACTTTTGGAAACTCAAAATTATTTTTTTTAAAAAAAATCAATGACATTCTTTAATTAAGGAAAATTCTTCTTTATAGGAATTTTTTAAAGATTTGACTCAAATTGTCCACAAATTTACTTAAGGAAAAAAAAAATTAATTTAGTATTTGGTAAATAAAAATGTGTTTTTTATAAAGAAGGAATTAGATAAAAACTATTTTTAAAACAAAAGTCTCTTAATTTTTTTTTTTAAAATCCTTTACTTCCCTTATTCCAAATGTCACAAGTGGTTTTTGCAATAAAAATGGGCATGTAACTTTTAATTGTTCAATGAAAAAGAGGTTGTACTTTGAGAACAAATACAAGTGGATTCAAAAACTGACGTGGGACTCTCCCTAGCTGCTAATATATAGACGGGTTTTTGTGAGTCTAATGTGTTTTTGATAAAAAAAATTTAATTCGTACGAATGACATTAGTATCTTTCTTTCTAATATATGAAGCTTGAGGTGGATATTATATTTTGCGACACCTTTTTAATTCCACTATCATTAGTAATAAATTTTAATTTTATGTTTTATTCGATTCATATTTGAAGCCGCCGAAAAGACTCAATCGAACTCAATAAATTGAGCTCTAATAAATTTATTTCGACACAATTAAACTTTGATCGATCGAGATAATTTATTAAAATCTTTTGTTCATTAAAAGAACGAGATTGCATTCTCAATCTAATTGAAATTATTGAATCTCTATAAACAAAAACTATATCCTATGACTTATCGTTCTTACTTATTACCATTGTTCTAAAAAATGGCAAAATGCGCCGCCTAGGCGCGACGCGCGATCAAAACGCGTCGAATTCGNAGGCGTGACGCTCGACCAAAACGCGTCGAATTCGGGAAATGCGGGAAAAATGCATTTTCCAACTGAAAGGCGCGCACTAGGCACGACTAGGCGCGCATTAGTCCGTCTAATACCCCCCCCCCTCCTTTTTTTAAATTTGTTTTTTTTATATATTAAAAAATCTATTTTTTTTATATAAAAATATATTTAATGCCTTAAAAATACGAAACGCATTATGACGCTTATTCTTCGCATTGACACGCCTAAACTTGTGATTCTTGATTCTCGGCATCGACGCTTCGCTACGCATTACGCATTTTAGAACACTGCTTATTACCCCTTGTAGACCATGTTGAAATCTGGAATTGTTCCAAAATAACCAAAATGTCATTTTCCAAATATACATAAATCATCAAATCTCATTTCATATATGATAATTCCATGTGATCACATCACAATATTAGTTCAACAACCAATACCCAATTCCTGTGCTCGGATTCAAATGTCTGCTAAAAAATTCTTTGAGATCATGATCTTGCATATTAAATAGGTTACAAATTCCATACCGCGAATGTATGCTCCCTATTATTTCACTTTGATTACCAATGCACCGAGATATTATCTAATAATTTGATCTTAATAATTAGTACCATAACATATAAAAATTATTATAGTCCACCTGGATGTTACGTCAGACACAAAAATTAGTCCCATCACATGCCCATATTTTATGATTCAATCATCGAGACTTGTTGAGTAAAAGAATACATCGATTCCCGATGCTTACCGAACAATGAAATTTGTAGGACTAATGCTTGGCTAGAAACATGATTAGAGGCCTCAGATAGCCTCGAACATGAACGAGACTCATCTCAATACTAATTTTGACAAATCAACTTTGATATTATTGCACCGTGCTTTTTGCGTGTAAATAGAGAATTTATTAAAGTACAAATATCAGTAAGCGTTAGAAATTGATATTTAATCATGAATTCCATAAAAATGATGAACAAAGGTCAATTCATTAAAAATGACCAAAATGTCCTTATCAAAACCCTTATAAGTTAGCATTTCAAAAATGAAAACGGCAAAATGACGATAGTAGATCTCTATCTCAATCGAAGAATAAAATAAATTGGATTCTAAAATCCCAAGTGGAAAAACTCTTGAGAAATTGTAAGAAAAATGCATAGTTGACTTTAAGAAATACAATATATTTTTTGAAGTCAACAATTTGATGCCAACTTTAGGAAACCATACCAAAATTATGAGAGTAAAACACACACGAGAAAAAAAGAAGTCAAATAAAATGAGTGGAAATGCATCAAATAGAGATGAAAATCAAAGGAGTTCAATTTTCTACGAGCTAACGTAGGAAATGAGTTGACATATTAGCACATAGTTAGTTTTGAGTCTTTTGACAAATAGACAGTAGGCACATTAACGAAACTAAATGGAAAAACACGATTTCTCATAAATTATAGTAATCAAATTGTACAAAATTGAAGTCCATTTGCCTAATTATAGGTATTGTGAAAGTTCAGGGTCACCAGTGCAATTTACCCAAGAAATCCACTTTCCGAACTACACTATTCCACTTCATAAAACAAAACCTTTTGAAATATTTTTATTTACAGTTAAATATGATTAAATTCTTTTTGACAAATAAGTTTGAGTCTCATTATTTGGTTACGAATGCATTTTGAAATAATGGATTGATAGAGAATGCACATTTAAAAAATAAAGAAAACTTTTAGGAGAATGTATAGTTAAAAAATAGAAAAAAGTTTTAGTTTTACGTGTAAAATATTTTATTGTTTGAATGTATGATTGAAAATAAATATGTAGAAAAAATAGTTGTCAAATAATGATGGTTAAACATGGTTTAAATAGGAATCCAGCCAAATCTCCAGATCAAGTAGAAATCTAAAAAAATAATGATTTAAAAGTATTCCAGGAAAAAACAGTAACTTTTATCGGAAAGTGATTAATTTCATTTTTGGTCACAAATCTTTCCACAAAATTTCAATTAGATCACTGAATTTCAATTTCAATTTCAATTGTTAGTCACTATCAATGTTTAAAAACTAATCCGATCATCGATCCAAAAAAAAGAAAGAAAGAAATGATAAAAAGGTTGAACTGAGATCAAACTGAGACCAAACCGTGATTTTTAAAAAATAAAAGAATATAAATTTACAAAAATTAAAAAATATATATATTAACATAGGTTGAACCGATTAAATTGAAAACGAGTCACAAATTTTTTAAAAACCAGCCAGTTTAATGGGTTTTGGGGCGAATTTTTAATTAGAAATTTTATAAGCCTAATTGGACCCATTTTGATCTCGGTTCCCAATTGAATCAATCGGACATGTTCGATTTTTAAAACATTGGTCACCATCTTAATCCTCAATTACCTCCTTTTCCTAAGTACATATGCTTAATAATCGTGTCATGAATTCAAAATCTTGAGATTTGAAATGATTAGAACTTTGTGACATTTAAGGTGTGTTTGAGCCACATTATTTTAAAAGAATGTATTTTGGAATAGTAGATTGATGGAAAATGTGTGGTTGAAAAAGAAGGAAAATTATTGATGAGATGAAAAATATTATTTTATTGGAGAATGTGTGGTTGAAAATGAGAATTGATTTACTGTAGAATTGGAGAATCTGTACCAAACAGGCTCTAGGACTTAATCTATTTTTTTTAACTCCTATTTGATAAAAGCAAGTAAATNTTTAACAAAATATTCTTTTAAAAATCACTTTTCAAAATATTATTTTTTGAAAAATAATGGCCATCGAACAAGGGCTTATTTGAAGAAAGTGTTGTTAAAAATAAGTTTGAGAAAAAATGAATTTTTAAATATTGAGTCTCGAATGGGGTCTTAACTTGACAATGTAAGATAGTTTTAAGTCCATGTAAATAATTAAGACCGTAAGCATATTATCGAGCACTAATATATTTAAATTTTAATTTAAATCAAAGTCAGCGATTAATAAATAGGGTTGACAAATTTTCAATTTATTTTTAATCAATTTTTATTAGAATCTATTAAAAAATTCATCAAACACTGAAACACGGACCAAAGTTTGGAACCTAATTGAGGCAAAAAGTTGGGTAGTTGTACTCCAACTATTTTAAATGTTCTTACGAACTTTCCTCATTCCAAAATCTACCCCGGTTCTGAACGCATCAGAATTCAGATCAACACCAAACCTAATCCCCGCAGTGAAACAGCTGATTACTGCCACTACTGTTTAATACATAGCAAAATTCAGACATCTCAATCTCCATCACTGACATAAAATGCAGAAAACGGCACAGAAGTGGTTCACCGACAGCCCGAGTAACGATCTTGACAGATCTTCTTCTCTGCTTGCGGACTGGAATGCTTATGCCGCTTCCAAGGCTGGTGACGCCGATTCATCCGGCCTCGGATTCGATCTGGAAGCAGCCGTTCGTACCGCCAATGATAAAGTCTCAGGCACTTTCAACGTGTAAGTTGTGGAATTTGTGTATTTGGTGCTGTAGTTTATAGCATTATTAGTTTTCTTGGGATTCGTGTGCCGTTTATCATATGCGCTTGTGTACTTTTTATTTGACGCTGTTGTTATTTGATTGATAAATATATATATATATATATATATATATAT